TTTAAATATTTTTGAAAAATGGCGGCAAATCATTTGAAATTAAAATTAAAAAATCAATGTCAGGAATATACAAAATCATTTTGGTCAAATATTGCGGGTATTTACCTTTATTAGTTGAGTATCTAATTTTATAGAAACAATTAAACTGACATAACTTTGTATGATCAAAACCAATATCCTGAATCTAAGTACACTTTCAATTTTAAACAGTACGGATTAACATAAAACTATGGTAATTTAATAAAAGTGCCGCAGTCCTATAAGATTGTCGAAATTAGGTACAAGCTTCGATAAAAATCGTGAGTGTAACTTACAGTAAATAACAAAGAGATAGGGACAAGTATCATTGGAAATGTCACTAATAAAATTGAAAAATAAAAATTATATAAAAGCTATTATTATATACTTTTAATAAAAATTATTACTTATAACAAAAATAAAAAGTATAATTTGCATATATTTTGTATTAATAAAATTTATTAATAAAAATATTAAAAAAGTAAAAGGAAAAAAATGTTTCTAGAAATTTGACAAGTCTCTCTACACTCTATAGTATGCAATCAATTTATTTAAGTCATACATATCCTAAATCATAACATATATTGATATTATATAGCCCAGAACAAGCCATATGAAATCTTTATATATATGTTATATGATACACACCAACTATTTTTTTTTTATTGCACATATGTATTTACATGTTATATGATCCATCTAACTTTAATTATTAATTTGAATATTATATTTGTTTTATTATATAATTCATAGATATAATTTAAATAAATATTTGTACAATAAGTTGAGAATAAACAAAATTATTCATGTTAATTGATTTTAACTCATTATTTTAAACACGTTAATAAAAAAAGGTAACAATCTAGGATTACTACTAATTTTTTTTACAAAAATAAAATATAAATATATTCAAATTTAATTTAATATTTTATTCAAATTTTGACAAAACATTATTAAATTATAAATTTTGATAATACAAACTTATATAGATAAACATGATATATATATATATATCATGCAATAAATTGGTTGACATCTTATCACAAATCTATTTCTTTCCTTCTAAAAAAATGAATAATTTGATTAATTTTTAACAAATCAGTATTTGAAATTTTTAGCCCTACCTAGCGCAACGGTTTCCGCTTATTGTAATATCTCCTTAACAGCCATTCAAATTGAATTTGGATATCTTATAAAGTTTTAAAACATTTATAATGTAATTCGTCGTGTTTTGGTTCTTATAT